ACTCCGTTCCTCAGTTTCCTTATCTGCCAACCTGTGGTGCTGCTAATATGATTTACCTCTTATGGTGGTTGTGAGGAGTTACCGTATGTGAGAACACTTAGTACAGTAATGTAGCAAACACCATGTAAGGGTTTGCTATGTTAATATTCTGACAGCAAGTGATTTTTTTTTTTTTTTTATTTTTTTTTTGCTTTGTTGAAGATAAAATGTCCCTTTGATATTTGAACCTTCTTTTCATGCCATGCTAGCTCTTGAAATGAAATTTGGGTAATATCAAGTGGCATAAAATCAATGAGAACTTATCTAATTATATAGTAACTTGAAGCCCAATGCATGAAATTCATCACAGCCCCGGCTTCATCCAGAAGGACATCCAAAAGGTCATTCAGCTGTCCGGTCTAATTAGCATATTATGCTTTTATTATAGATTATTATAGATAATGTCTATTCACCTATGTTACTCAAATCTGTGTGTGTGTAGTAGTAGTAGTAATAGTTTATCCTGATTTGTAGTGTTATCTTTCCAAATCCTACTTCTTTTCTGTCTTTTTAGTGGTAAAATTTTAAACATAATCCTATGCATATTATATATTAAAAAATACAAATCTTTGTTTTACTATCTAATTTTCTAAAATGATTGACTCCTTTGACTTTCATCCAATTCGAAAATTGAATTTTCATTATTGCATAAAGTTGATTCACCAATGTATGAATGTTGTTTTATATCTTAATTTACCATTAAGTCCAGACCCATATATGGCAAAGGACTATGAAGAAGTAAAGGAACAAACCACATACTCATCAAATATTTCAAAAATTTGCTTGCTTCAAACCTATAAATTCCATTTATGAAGAACATTTTCCTACTGAAATGGTTAGTAGTAAGCATAGTTGTGCTTTATCCAGGGCAGTGTGACTTTGATGGGTAACATTCGTCAGGAAAGGTCAAAATCAGGAACTGAGATGCCTCCCGACCTTCTTCAAGGGCAAAGGAGAGAAACCCACTGTGTTTGCCCCTAGTGCTGTATGCTCCTCGGCCTGAAGGAATATCACTGACAAGGACAGGTACCCTGGAGGCTGTGCAATAGGATGGACCACACATGGTTGACCTTGTCCACAAACACTAATTCTGAAAGTCTTAAGAGTGGCTTGCTGGTCAGGCACCTCTAGCACTGGGATGAATTTTTAAATTTCTAGAATTCTCTTGTTAGGCTTATTAATTGTTGAGAGTTTCATTTGTCCAGGATGATCACAATATGAGGAAACTCATGTCCTTAAGTTGGGATCACATTGAGAATAATAATGCTGTATCCTTGAATATAGAATGCATATTCATCATGAAACATGGGTCTATGAGTTGCTTGAGAACAAAATAGGCAATAAATTCATTCAAAATTGTATCTCTATCTTGTTTCAGCATTTCCTTTTATCGTATTCTCAATTGAGTGTCTATCATTTCAGTGGGAGGGTCCACATAATCCCGCTGTGGTCAGGTCAGATCGGCCAGACCCTAGGGCTCTGTTGGGAGACAACTCCTATTTTAGATGGGAATGACAGACCTCAACCCTGCTGCAGCGAGATGTAGAGGGGCATCCTTGTTTTTCAAACAGGCAATCAGGGGCATATTGCTCGACGCTACACTTTTACAGAAGTGGTAGACTAAGAAAGCCATGTGTCACTGAAGAAAAGTAAATAGGTGTGGGTCAGACCAGAACCGTTTCATTGGCTTGCCATAAATTGTGTCTCTTAAATACCTGAGCTATTGGAAGCATTGAGGGTGAGCCAGCACAGTTGTTTCTGAGAGCTGTGATTCTGAGAGTTCCTCACCATGGCTGTGTGACTGCGTGTCAGGGTTGGGCTCAGTCTCGACGACGACGGAGAGTGTCCTGCCTAGGAGCAGGGATAGGGCAAGGCTGGGCGGTCCCTCTCGGATCCCTCTCACACACTCTCTCCCCTCCCCTTCCTCTCTGTACCCTGATAGGAGAGCCTGCTCATGATTTCGGATCCTGTGCCAGCCCTGAGTACACTCATGTGTTTTCTGTATCCACCTGACTTTGGCATTTACGTGCAGTAGATTGTGATCCCTTACCTTACTCTGAGCCTTTGCTCAGTCATTTCAACCTGTGCCTTGGACTTTTCTTGACTGCTTTTGAGAAATGTGGTGGCTAAGAGTCCGGGCTCTGACTTTCGGTTCTGGCCAGCCCACTTACCACCTGTGACCTTGATACACTTACCCTCTCTAGGCTCTGAGCCTGCAGCCACAGGACCCGCCTCTCCAGGCTTCCCAGGAACTGAGAGGCTCTTGGCGCAGACGTGTGCATAGAAAGCACAGTAAATATCTATTGTTTCTCTCTCCACTTAGTCCAGTTATCTTAAGCCCAGCCTCTACCTCACTCCCTTCCTCAGGACCTCAGTGCCCAGGATTTCATCCTCTAAATCTGAAACTGTCTGCCTGCAGGTGAGCAGGTTTTCTTCCTGCCCTCAGTGCGGGACCGGGTCCTGAACCCCTGCACCCCACAGGGCTCTTACGCAGTGAGGTTGGCATTGTCCTTACTGTGCGGCCAGGGGAGTGGCACAAACAGGAATTCTGGGCCCTGAGCTTAGGAGCAGAGAAAAGATAGACACTGGGGCTCTCCACGCCCACTCTCCCCCACTCATCCTGCCTTTCATTGCTTACACATCGTGATTGTTATCCTTCTTCTTAGCAGCACGCTTCCCACGTTTAGCTTTTGGCTCATGTTCGCCCTCTTTAACCCATGCCCTTCTCTTTGTGCTTTTCTCTGCTTTCTCTCACCTGTTTTTGGAAGCTGGCCTTCTATCCCACCCCCCACTTTCTCTTGTATATTTCTCCGTCTTTGTTACAAGACCTTAAACACGGTGTGTATCATTGAAGCTCTGTCAATAGCAACAAGCGATCTGTGGCAATAGCCCATGCGCTGATCCTCTTTGCCTCGGGGGCAGCCTCACGCCCGAAATTCCCACAGCATCTTCGTTCGGGGGTGCTTCCTCTGGCCCAGGCTGCCCCTCCCATAGACTGTCCATAGGGCTGTTATTGCTGGACAAGGTCTCAGACCTTCCAGAGCAGGATTTATGTCTTCTTGCATCTGAACTTCAAAGCTTTGGACTTGCTATCCCCTCTTGCTGTTTTCCATGGACACGCCATCTCCCTGCTCACTGTAACCTCAGCAACAGGGAAGGTGGGGTGACTTGTCAACAGGGGGTGAGACACATGCGGGTAGGAGAGCGCTTTAAAGATGGCAGGCCTGGTTGTGCCCCCTGCAGACTCCGTTCAGCAGCTGAGTAAACTGCTTTTAGCTCTACCTACTGTTTTAAGCTTGAAGAGGATGACAGAAGAGTTTTCTTCTAACTCTAAGCCATGTAAACAGGAAAAATTGTTTCCCCTCTGAGAAATCTAAAACTGTTAACTCGGATGTTTCACGGGCCTCACAGATATTCGAAAGAATAGCGATAGATTGTGTTCACTTGTCCCAGGTTGTCTTGCGTAACCTCAGAAGGCAGGATGTCATGATGGGAAACTGAGTGCACGTTCTTGTCATTGGCTAGTTCTTTCGCTTATCAGTTTTTGATGTTGGCCTCATGATCCTCACCTCATATCTAAGGCTCACTTTCCCCAGCTGTAAAATGGGATAGCAATGTTCTCCAGAGCTTTTGGGATTGTCCTAACGACTGAGGAAAGTAAAGTATATGGAAATGCTTTATCACTGATTTAAATGTACTTCATTAGTATTGACATGATAATCTTAAATTTATAGTACTTAATTCCAGTAATTTTCTATCCTCTAAGGTATTTTGGAAAGTATCGCCAGCACCAGGGAATTTATATCGTTCCATGACCGAAACACGCCTCTTCCCCATCTCGGGCCTCCAGGCTCAGGCTCAGTGTCCGCACACAGGAAGGGGCCATGCCCTGGCACCGCTCTCCCAGCATGTGTGGGCGAGCAGGGAGAAGCCCCCCCTCCATCTTCCCACAACCCCTAGGATTATGTTGGTTGAAAACTGTAAAAAATATAAAAATATTCCCCGTGGAGCCCAATGGAAGGAATGGACTTGACAAGTTTGCCTCAGAGAATCCCAGGCTGGCCCACAGCTGCTCTGGGATAAACTTTAAAATCACTCAACACACACCCACGGCACACAGTCCAGGTGAGAGGACCTGACACTCACCATAGGCCACTCAGATACTTTAATTAAAAGAAAAGAACCAGCGATTACTCAGGAATATTAAGTGGCTTCTTGTTTCTCCTTATTTCAACATGAAGATTGTCACATGTTAATGTTAAAGAGAAAATGTGCAAAACACAACTTTGTGAAAGCTCATATTGATCTCAAATTTAGTATTTTATTTTTTTTAATATATTTTATTGATTTTTTTACAGGGAGGAAGGGAGAGAGATAGAGAGCTAGAAACGTTGATGAGAGAGAAACATCGACCAGCTGCCTCTTGCACACCCTCTACCGGGGATGTGGCCGCAACCAACGTACATGCCCTTGACCGGAATCGAACCTGGGACCTTTCAGTCCGCAGACCGACGCTCTACCACTGAGCCAAACCGGTTTCGGCTGAATTTAGTATTTTCTTAACCCCTTTCCTCATTGGCCTCCCACTTTCTTTCTTTCTACAGTTCATTAGCCATAAAATAAGGAACAGTATGACTCTATCTACCTATCTACCATTTATCCTAATTCCACAAGGGATTTGTATAAGCATCATAGCGAGGTAGTAAGTGAAGTGGAGGGGCCCTGCCATCGTCAGAGAAAGCCCGTTTCTGTGCAGCCCCTGGCACCGTTCCTCTCCCTGCGTGTCAGCCCTGCCCTCTGTGTGCCATGCCCGCCAGAGCTGCAGCGGGTCGCTGGACACGTTGCCCTACACGGGACCTGACCTGACTTGGGCATCTTTTACTGTGACACCAGCAGGACAGAGCGAGAGTGGGCGGAGGGGACAGCCTGCTGTTCACTTCACCACCTCTTCTTTCTTTCAGAGACTCCGACCTCTTCTTGCTGGACACCCGCGTGGTATGGGCCTCAGAAGAAGGCTGGCTGGAGTTTGACATCACAGCCACCAGCAATCTGTGGGTCGTGACCCCACAGCACAACATGGGGCTTCAGCTGAGCGTGGTGACTTGGGATGGTAAGTCTGCCAAGACCAGGCCCAGCAGTCGCTGTCACTCATTTCCTCTCCAGCAGTCATGAGAGAGCCGTGGTTCACAGCCCAGTCCTCAGTTCACAATGACTTCCTTTACTGTTTCCTCATAACTGCTGTTGAAAGCAAAACCTTCCCCTGGAAGGACTCGGAGACGGTCAGGTGGTCCAGGTTCCGAGAGAAACATGGGAGGCGAGCACGCAGAGGCAAGGCAGGTGGATGGCGTGGAGAAGAAGAAAGATGGGAGCATAGGATAAATCCTGACCTTAGTCTACCCCTCCCAGCACCCCCTCTCCTGCAGCATCCGAATCCAGCAGATCCAGGGCCCCTAACGGCCTTCAGAGTGGGCATGCTCCGTGGGTTGAGTCACCTCACTGGCTGGGATGAATATGATCAAAAAGAAAGAATGAATATGAAGGAAAAGGACTAGCAGAAATGAGACCGAGATGTGAGAGAGACAGATCGATCGATATACACACACCCTGACCTGGGCTAGGGATTGAAGCTGTAGCCCAGGTTTGTGCCCTTGACCGGGAATTAAACCACAACCCTTTGGTGTGAGGGCTGATGCTCTAACCACTGAGCAATGCCAGCTAGGGCTGGAAGGAGGGTGTTGATGTTGTCCATCCGAGGGTGCCACCAGAGATCCGAGAGTACCATGCTTTCCCCTCACCCGCATTCTTTGTGATCAGTCCCGGGAGGCCGGGAAGGACCCGTCATGCAGCTGCAGGAGTAAGTTTACATGGAATAAAGAGGGGCGTGCTTTGGTTTGCATTCAAGGACTCAGCATCAACCCCCGAGCTGCGGGCCTGGTGGGCAGAGACGGCCCGTACGACAAGCAGCCCTTCATGGTGGCCTTCTTCAAAGTGAGCGAGGTCCACGTGCGCACCACGAGGTCAGCCAGCGGTCGGCGTCGCCAGCAGAGTCGCAACCGCTCCACCCAGGCCCAGGACGTGTCCCGGGCCTCCAGCGCTTCAGGTAGGTGAGGGTGGAGTCTCGTTCTCTGTTGGCCCTCGGGCCTCAGTGAGAGCAAGGCCGTGCGATCGTTTCATATCTGCTCTGCTTCTGCGCGGCAAATACAAAGGCCTGCAGGTGCCTCTCATTGTCGCCGACGATGCAGGGCCACAGAGGGGAACACTTATTCCCAAAGATGGAGTCTGCAGCCAGCAGGCATTCGGGTGTGTGTTTGTCCAGAGAAGCATCCTTCTGTTTGGTAAGATTTCTCCAGCTCCTTTTTCACTCACAGAAAGATCCCAGGTTTTCTCCCAGTTGCATTAAACCTGAGAGGTTGTGGGATAGAAACAAGCTTCATACATTTGTATAAGATAGACTTGTATTTGGCAGTGCCCTCAGCTGCCCCATGCGCCAGAGTTGATTGGTTCATTTAACTCGGACGTTCAGGGCTTCTAGCCTCGGGCATGGCTGCCTCCAGGGGCTCAAAAGAATCTCTCTGTCTCTGCTGTGTTGGCAGCATTCTCCGAGAGGCTCTCTCTCCGTGGTGGTAAGAAAGGCAGCCAGTAGTTCCAAGATCATCTCTTTCGTGGTGGCGCCAGCAGAAAGCCTGTCTGGGGCCATGTGTTCACCCCAGGAGGTAATGGGGCCAACCCCATCCTGCCCTCAGCGGGGAAGTTCGAAGGGTCACGCGAGAGGAAGCAGCTCCCTCTGCGTGCGCATCCATTCCCTGGCTCTTCAGAGACGTCCTTCCATGCGGTGCTTTGTTAGGAAGTGGCACGGAAGTCCACGCATCAGGACCTGATGGAGGGGGCACAGGTGTGGTGCCTCAGAGAGTGAGTGACTGTTCAATTCCAACGCAGATGCATCTCACTCTACAGCCAAGGCTGCAAGGTCTGGGTTTCGTTCAGCTGTTTAAACCATGCAAGAATGCAGCAGCAGGAAGTTGAAGAGGACTGTGGGCTTTCCAGTCCGAGAACCTGCTTCCCTTGTTACGACTCTGTGACATTGGACAAGCTTCATCCCTTTCCTCTGCAGTTACTCCTCTGTGCAGCAGGATGGCTGCTGCTCGGCAGACTGGCTGGGACTAAATGAGGAGCATTTGATCTGGTTCCTAATAGCGCTCCGAGATGGGTTGCATGCAGTTGTAGGAAGCAGGTTGTCAGGACCTAGGTTAGGACCTTCCGAAAGCACGTAAAATACTTCTGGAAGATGCTTTCCTTCTCCCAGGGGACTGTTTAAAAATGCCATCTTCAGTGGCCAGAAAGAGTTTGTGCAGCTTCCCCAAGTCCCCGTCGGAAGGAAGTGTCTGCAGCGTACATTCTGACTTCATCAGCCATTTCCCTCACCAGCGTCTTGGACGTGGAACTTGAGGATCCACCACCCAGTGTGATGTGACATTTTGCCTCTTGTCATCCTGGTGTTTCTTGGAAGCGTTGCACAGCATGGGTGTTCCTGTGTTTACCACTAGAAACAGTCGGGGTTGGGGTTTGTAAAAGAAGAAGAAGAAAGGGGTCTTTCCCCTGCCGAATGGAAGGAAAATCTCGGTTTTCCTCTGGGCACGAGGCTGCTTCTGTTCATTAATGAGCGCAGCCAGGCTCATTAATGGTGCTGGGACCTCAGACATGAAGGCAGCTCTTGAAATGTTGATTGCTTTTAAAATTAAAATTTCACTTGATTTATTCAACATCCTTTCCACGCCCCAGTACACATTGGAATTTTTTTTTTTTTAAATTGAGAAAACATGTCTTAGATTTTGGTTTTAGCAGTGTCACCCAATTTTTTTTTTCCAAAGTTCCTTTCAACTTTCTTTTCTTTCAATGTGATGACTTCAAGTTAAATATGAATGTTAAACCTTTTCTATTTTACAATAAGATACAAGTATATCCGGTTTTCTTCTTGGTCTTCCTACCCCACCCCCCACCTCCCAGCCCGGTACTTTCCAATTTGCTCTGCTCCTTCCAGCAGTCCTAAGGCAAAGAGCTCATTACAGATACCTCTGGCCTCCGCTGTGCAAAAGGCCAGACACCCCCCACCAGAAAGTATTCCTACAAAGGATCCTGTTTGCATCTCACTATCTTCAAAGACCCTCTCAAGCTGGTGTGAGAAATTCCTCATGTGAGGCCGTATTTGGCTCATTCTTTCTCATGTATCCGAGTGGACATGCAGAAGAGGAGGCTGCTCTTGGAGAAGGGGATTCCAGGAAGGTGGCCTGCTACCCTGAGAGATGGGCCAACCAGCGTGGCTTCCTTTCCAGGCCGCGGTGGGGCCAGATGTTGCTGGGCCTTCCTGACCAAGGCAGCTGCTGCAGAGACAAAAAACTGTGGCTTCTGGTGTGACTCCCAGCAGGCCTTTCCTCTTGTAAATCTTTCAGGAGGTCGAAGGGAGAGATTGCTTTGCCTCTGCTGCCCCCCGTCTTCCACAGAGTGCTCCCAGGGAATTCACATTTCTCCACTTCAACCACCACCAGCAGGAGAAGCCCACTAGAGAACATCCTGCATGGGATAAAGGAGTTAACAGAATTCACAGAATTGCCCGTTTTCGGAGTGAAACATGGCAGGGAAATACGTGTCTGTTTTGAAAACAGTCTCCTGGAGGAAGAAAGCACCTGTTTTTGCAGGTGTCTGCGATGGCAAGACCAGTCCACCACAAGGGAAAGGCCAGGAGCCCCATCCGCCTCCTCCCTACGTACTGCCCACCAACATCTGCTCTCACATCTGTACTCGGCCTTTAAGCTGGACTTCCCAAACACATGCACCAAGCAGTGGGTCTGCTCCGTAGCTGTCGGCTCCAAGCGGGAGATGGGTGTTTGCTGTGCTGCATGTCTGCGGCAGTCTCAGATATCATCTGGACAGTGTCATCTATCGTTTTCACTCTCCTGGTCTGTGCCAGGCTGGGAAGCCCACTGGGGATTCTGGTGAATCTGGCAATTCCTTTCCGGCCTCCATGTCTGCCAGCCTGCTGGTCTCAGGTGCTTCACACTCTTTGGCTTCGTTTGATATCTCTACTTGCTGCCTTCCCCCTCTTCTATAGTCTCTTTCTCTTGGGGTTCACTATTTTGTCTTCTGGGGACTGGGCAATCCATCATGAGGGCTGTGAACAAAAGGCCTTGATTCTAGATACTGATCTAGCTTATTTTCCAGGATCTTTTCAAGATATCTTTGGGGAGTGGGTGGGTAATGGGGTTTCAAGTCAGCTGGTGAGTGTGAGGTTTTCTGCCAGGTCAACCAGCTGGCTGCCAACAGTGCGCCTCACAACTGTTCTTTCTTTTGGCAACAGTAGTTTGCAAACTTTTTCTGCCACTTTTAACAATTCATGTAAAACTGAATTAGATGAGTTGTAGGCCTCTTTCATCCTTGATGTTTATGTTGTCACCACCCAGATCTCTGCCACATCTATGAACCAGCAACCTCTCAAAACCCTGCCTGTCCTTTGGAATGAGTTCTTCAAAAGCTCCCTGTTCGCATTTCTTACAGTCAGTCTCCTTCCATCTCTTTCCAGCATGTGTCTGTAAGGTCCTGGGGGACATGTGGCTCTGGTGCATTTAGATATACTTATTTGACCTTGTTGATAGTTCATATCTTCTATTCCCTTGAACTTTCCAACTGAGCGGTTTCAGTTGCTTCCAGATAAGACAGGTAACCAGAGTTCCTGGCTTGCTGAGCAACAGCTTGGGCATTTTATATGACTCTGAAATTTTTTGCTGTGCATTTCAGGGCACTCCAGCCCACAGACGAGGGAGTCTCATTCTTACAGGTCAGCGCGTATGTGGCCTTTTAGTTCCCAAGCAGGTGTCCCCACGAGGTTCTCCTTGCTTCTGTGGGATGGCCGCCAAAGCCGAGGAGGAACATACTGTTTATAATTCTTCAAAGGAGGGGGCATTTTAATATATCATTTTGATCTTAAATTAAAATTTTAGGCCCTACAGCTAGGCTTCCAACTGTACCAGGCAAAAAGGAGAGGCTTGTTAAGAGTTTTCTAAACGAAATCAAATTTCCACTGCTATGGAGCACAGGTATGGCATTGGTGGTCTGAACGTTGGAATAATTCCAGATGCCAAGTATATAATACTGACTCTCCTTGGCCATGACGTGCTTGAGGATATTAGTTATCAGGGAGCGAAACCGCCTGGAAGGGTGTCCCATCCCTGGTGGCAGCGATGCTGAAAGGTGTAATAACACGGTGTGGACAGGTGCTTGCCGAGTAATTCACCAGCAGTCGCTGCTCCTGAGGAAACTGGGGGCCTGAGACTCAGTCTAGGAACTGACGGGAACAGAGGTGCTCCAGGCACAAGGGGTTTTAAAGCTTCGTGTTCAAGGGGAGTGTTTATCTATTTTCACAAAACTTAGCTCCGTATTCTTTTGCACTCAAGACAGAGCCTAAGGGGAGGCCCAGGTGGCCCCGCGGAATGGGATCTCCTGAGACCTTGGGGTGCTGAGCAGCAGAAGAATAGGGTCGCGCTGGGGTCCCCTGCTACCATCCAGCCTGTAAACAAAATCTAGATTCTGAAAATAACCCCCCCCCCCAACCCCGCCCCACACTTCATGAGATTACAGACATTGGAAATTGAGACTCTGGCGATCACCCTGCAGCCTGCTGTGCCTGAGCTCAGGAGCTGGGCTCCTTCCAGCGTGTTCTCAATGGAGTCTGTGGGAGCCAGAGACTTGTTTGGATAAGACGGGCAGATAAGGCCGGGATAAGGGAAGAGCGGCCAGGCCATTGAAGACAGAGGTGCCATTTTAACAGCCGCTGTTGTTCTGCCCCTCGGCATCCTGGGAGAGAGGGGAAGTGGGAGTGAGTTGCTCACTCTGAAAAACAAGTTCCTCTGGGAAGATGTTAGCCTGAGCTCAGGAAAGACAATGTGGACCTGCCACTTTGTCCCCAGCGCCCGCCCTGCCAGCATCGCCCTGGCTGAGCGTGCGTCTCGCTGAGCAGGGACAGTGGCCTCAGCGGCCAACCTGAGGTCAGCCCACCAGGCAGGAGCCCACTCTGCAGGAGCCCCGGCTGGAGGCGCCACCTGTCCTCGCCTCGTCCTTGTTCCCTCTCACCTAATTTTGGATGCTTGCCCTGCCTTTGTCTCTCTTCTGCCTTTCCCCTCTCCATGTCTTCCTTATTGTTTCCCTCTCCTCCTGTAGCTTCTCTCTCATCCTCCCCTGCTGGGGTTGGAAAGGAAAGTGGGCGGGCTGCCTGGATCCCCGGAGCCTGGGCTGGGCTGGGCTTGAGCGCTGTGGCTCAGGTGCAGTCACCACCCTGGGGTCCTCAGGTGGTGGCTGTGTGGCCCAGACTCCGCTGCGATGGTGCCCCTCACGCTGGCCGCACAGCTTCCCTGCACGTCGCCTGCCCTGCACGTCAGGATCATCGCAGGGCCCTGCCCTTCGCATCCGGGGCTCATTGTGTTCCGTTCAAGGGAAACCTGCTGTGCAGTGCACTGAGCGATTGTGCCACAGAAATAAACCAGCTGTGCACCCAGGCTCTCCTAGCACTGGCTCCTGCAAGCGTGGTCTCCAGGGCCAGGTACAGGGAGTGCGGGAGGAACTGACCCCAAAGGCCTCTTCGGGCTGTGGGATGTGCCCCTCGTGTTTGGGTGGAGCAAACATGCAGTGTCCGTGGCCGCTGCCTGGGAACAGAGATGCTGTGAGGAGGTGGCAGGCCATGGTGCCGCAGCAGTCAGAGCACCCTGCCCTCCCGCATGGAATTAGAGAAATGCTCCCCTGCAGTGTCCGCTTGCCTGAGCTGAGTGGGGCTGGTGGAGTGGCCTTTTTGTCAAGTGGTCCCAGCCATCATAGGGAAGAACAGCTATAGGGCCAGGGAGTAGAGGCTGTCACCAGCGGAGGTGAGTGTCAGGGCCGTGACCCAGCAGCCGAGAAGAAAGAGCTCCCAGCCAGAACCAAGACCGTCTCTCAGCCATAACCTGCGTGGACGTACAAATGAAACAGGGGACAAGGTGGTCTAGGAGGGGCCGGAAGATGGGAATGAGGATGAACACAGGGATTCATGCCAAGCTCTGTGTGCTGGCAGCCGCAGCATCGGCCTCTGGGCCCACCCAGCTGTGACTGATCCCTGTCCCCACCCTCTGAGCAGGATTGTCAGATGTGGGCGCTCGGGTGTCTGCGGTACAAGGACAACATCACCCTCCTGCCATCAGCCGGACGCCAGGAAGACGCATTGGCGAGCAGCTCCTTTGGTGCTGACCGCCCAGCACCTCCGGTGTTCTCGGCCCCAGGGAACCCAGCGTCACCAATCATAAGGACACGGGCGAGGCTGGGGAGGAGGATGGCACAGCCACTGAGGCAGCGGATGCCACGGTGGGAATGGAAGCCACTGGTTGACCTTTAGCAATGGACACAGTACTTCTGTGTATCGGAACCACCGGTTTAATCGTTCAGCAGGCTGGAGGAGATGCAACCCCTTGGCAAAGTCCTGGAAGAATACAGACTTAATGAAGACACCCGCGGGGCTCTGCAGCCTGGCCCTCTCTCCCAACTCTCTTTTACTTCCTTCCTCCCGAGAGGGACCGGCGGGCTGCGTGGCAGTCCCTGTGCCTTTCCTGCCATGGAGCGAGGAACCTCTGCTGAAAGGCCTTCCCTTAGGATAGTGGTCAGCAAACTCATTAGTCAACAGAGCCCAACACCAACAGTTCAACGATGGAAATTTCTTTTGAGAGCCGAAAACCGACTTCCGTGCACCGGCCATGAAGGTTCAATCACACTATACGTGCGTGCCCGCACGTGGTATTTTGTGGACGAACCACACTCAAGGGGCCAAAGAGCCGCATGTGGCTCGTGAGCCGCAGTTTGCCAGTGAATCGGGGCACGGCCATTCCTCTTGCCGATGACTAGGATAAGCAGGCTGGTGGCTCCGGAATGGCACACAGGGGGCATATACACATCGGATCTCTGGCACTCCTGGCTTAGAAGTTGTTGCTTAAATGCAGGTTAAAGCATTTAAATAGATCATCAATCTATTTATGGTTAAATATCAATAGATTTAACCAATTTAACCAAAAAATGGTTAAATAAGGCAGAGAGGCCGGAGGACAGTGCCGATGAGGATGGCCTCTGCTGCAGCACCGTCTCCCTCTCTTCCCCACTCCTGGGCCTCCTGGATACTTCCCTAGCCCGGCAGCTAGCTTTAAAACCCCTGTACAAAACAAAACAAAACCAAAAAAACCCTGTACAGCTTCAAGACCGTGCCTGTTAGAAATACAGCAAATCCTGCCGAGGATAGTCGTCTTTTACTGCAAATATGATGTCTTCCAAGTCAGACGTCCAGAGTGTTTGGGCATCTTGGAACACCCTCTCCATAGACCTTGCACACAACAGAGGCTCACAACAAACACTGGTTGCTTAAGAGATTCCAGTCAAGTCAGTATTATGCATCATTTGCAAGTGTACCCAGCACTAAACCCAGAGTGGACAAGACAGAGTGTGTAAAACACCCACACTACCGGGAACTTCATTGAGCTGTTTGGTGACCAAATTTGTCTCACAGAGGCCTTGTGCACTGCTATCCTGAGCCTAATACAGTGCCGGGCGAGGGAATGAATGAGTTAATGCCTTTACCTTTTTATCTCTTCTAACAGATTACAACAGCAGTGAGCTAAAAACAGCCTGCAGGAAGCATGAGCTTTATGTGAGCTTCCAAGACCTGGGATGGCAGGTGAGTTCTCAGAACAAGGGGACCATGATCCTTTCTCAGCAGGCCCTTCTCATCCTCATGGCGGCAGCCATCATCAAAGATCTTGAGCTTTAGAACTGAGGTGGTTCTCCCCAGGAAGGTACATAGGAGTTCTCCCAAATGCCAGGCTCTTGGAGTGAGGAGGGTGAAGGCCTGGCCTACGTGTGCACACGGCCCTTACTGGCACCTTTCCAGGGAGCCCAGGTTCCCCAGCTCTGCGTACCTCAAAATCAATAGCCACCTTTTTTCAATAATCTTTCCTCATTCTCTCAAAGTCCACAGGGTAGGTATTTACATTTACCAATTAAACAAATTTTATTTTGAGAAAGGGTTGGAAAAATGGGTCAACCGTTAAAACTGCAATGGCTAAAACTAAACTACTAGAAGAGAACAAAGGTTCTGACCCACACCTGAGTCACCACAGTTTATAAGCAGCAAATCATAGGTGACAAGTGGCAGAAGGTAGTTTCCATATGCAGGTGGCATGACAGGGAATACCCTGGGCTCCTGGAGAGGCTCCCTCGGGTCAAGTTCACAAAGCCAGCCCCATGTGCTTCCGGGCTCAGCAGGCAGGTAGCAGCTAAATGTCGTTTGGGCTGTGGAAAGAGCAAGGGCTCTGCGGTCACGCCCAACAGGGTCACACCCAGCTTTGCCACCTGAATGTGAAACTGACCTTCCTGCATCTGTCTACTGAGCTGTCCACGGGAGTGATTTTCCTCACAGGATTACTGAGAGCACAGATGTAAGGAGTGTATGTTAATTATCTCTCTGTTGCTTGCTTTTGCTTTTTTAAACTAAGGACTGGATCATTGCACCCAAGGGCTATGCTGCCAATTACTGTGATGGAGAATGCTCCTTCCCACTCAACGCACATATGAATGCAACAAACCATGCGATCGTGCAGACACTGGTGAGCTCAGAGCCCTCCATCACTGTGTGGGTGGGTGTAAGCCAAGGCCGGGTCATTTCTGATGGAACCTTTTCCTCCTTCTGTTTTAAAACAGGTTCACCTTATGAATCCCGAGTACGTCCCTAAACCGTGCTGTGCGCCAACTAAACTAAATGCCATCTCGGTTCTTTACTTTGATGACAACTCCAATGTTATCTTGAAGAAATACAGGAATATGGTTGTGAGAGCTTGTGGATGCCACTAACTTGAAACTGCCTGTTGGGGTCAGAGGTCCTGCCTTGGATTCCTAGCTTAGCCCTGCCTTAAACAGCACTGACGTGTGTGGGATGTGACAGTGGGACGATGACTTTGAAACCCTCTCTTGCCGGTTGGTGCCTTATTGCCCAAGGAAGACTTTGAAGGGCCTCAGTAATGTCTTGCCCGTGTAGTAAAGAACGTGAGTAGTTGGTCTGTAGGCGGCTATTTGAATGGCTGTAGTATGGAGTCTGGACATTGCAGAAATATAACTTTGAAGGGTTCCTCTTCCCCCATAAAAGCCCACCAAAATTAGAGTTAGCTTTATATCAAGCTATTTGTGGTATTACTGAGTGAACAGGGAAAATAATTTTAAAGAAGTAAAAGTATCCTTGGCTGAAGTATCAGCCAATTTAGAATGTTTCTCAAAAACAGATTTTACAGTTAACAGAAATTGGGGGTGGGGGGAATGCCTCTATTCAAGGATTTTGTTCCTGGGAAGGTCAATTTCATATAAGATCAACAGCCCAAGCCATAATCAGGGCCACGTGGAAGTGCCTTTTGTTTGGTAACTGCTGTCCAGTGTTTGTGCTGGCGTTCTGTTGGTGTGAAAAAAGAATTATTTCAGTTAAAACAAACCACGTGATTTCCACACGCCATTCCTCCCCCATTTGCTGTTTTCCTTGCGAGTACCATCAGCAGAACGTTGGTGCTGTGTGGGGAGCCACAGGGTGGAGAGTCTTCAGCGGCCCCCAAGGCACCCAGGTGACAGATACAAGCAGTGCTGACCTCCTGCTGTTTGCAGGAGGGACTTCAGAAAGGCTGGCTCTCATATCCCATCTACTTCAGTGAAACAGTTCTTTCCCTCTTACTGTACAGCCTTCCGTGTCACAGGCGAGAACCAACACAGGACATAAACTGAGCAAGGGGCGCTGGCCTGTAGGAATGGGTTTGGAAGGCCATGCTGTTTATGAATCAAAATCAGTTTTCTCTTGTAGAAAGTAAGACTCAGATTAAATCTTAGAGTATTTTTTAAATGTCTTTCTCACAATCATATAGTAGGAAACCAATTTCATATTAAACTGATTAAATAATACATTTATGATCTATAACTGTTTGCACTTACAGCTTTTGTGTAAATATAAACTATAATTTATTGTCTATTTTATATCTGTTTTGCTGTAACATTTAAGGAAAGACTAGACTTCTTTTTTTTTTTTAAAAAAAGAGTTTATTTAGAAAGTATCCGAGTGTAAACAAATTGTACCACTTTGATTTTCTTTCAATACAAGACTCATGATGCAAAGCGGAAGCCACTCATGAGGATTGTGCTTCTCCTGAAAAGCTGGTTTTTTTTTAACAAGAACATCTGTGACCCACACACAATTAATAAAGATTTCCTTAAGGCAGAGGCTGGTCGAGATCCTGCTCTGTTGTCATCTGCCGCAGACAGCAGATGCGTCCTGTGTCTGAGATTCTTACCAGCAGTTACTGTGTGCCAGGGGACTGGCTCCCCCAAGCACGGGAGGCGGGTGAGAGTGGCAGACAGAAGGGTAATTTGGAAAGGTAACTTGAGGGCAAAGAACATACAGGGAGCCTGGTCCTATGGTTACTTCCAAGGGTGATGGTAAAAATGTTTAACAACTAGGGAGGCATGAATTATAAGAGCATCAGCACTGATGGTAGCACAGCCTACTTCAGCTCTGACACAGCCCCGCCTACTCATTCTTTGGTCTTTAGGTAAAGTTAATACCATTCAATCTCCGTGAAGGCAGATGATGATGTACAGAGAGCCTTTTAACAGGGATGGCAAACCTTTTTTGTGCCAAGGGCCATTTGGTTATTTATAACATCATTCACAGGCCACACAAAATTATCAACTGAAATATTAGCCTGCTATATCTGATCAAACATTAAATTAATTCACCCCTAATGCCTTGGTAGGGCCAGATGAAATGATTCCTCAGGCCTCTATACAGCCCTCGGGCCAGACATTCCCCACCCCTGGTGGCTAGGACTACCGAGGAGCAGAACTAAAACTGCTCTGTTGGGGCCGGGCTGCCCAAGTCCCCTGGTCCCTGACACCCGGACCCGCTCACCTAGTCCTTTTCCCCAGGTGACAGATAACACCAGGATCTTTCTATGAGTTAACAAAACAGTCAGGACAAGCCTGGTGGAACTTTCCATGCCCACATTTTCCCCGGGGAGATAGCAAATCTTAAACATGGACTTAAAATATCCTCATGGATCCTGACTTAATGTTAACATAACTAATGAAATCTTTCACCCAGGAGAAACAAACAGAAGTATCTTTTGAACAGTAATAACTGATCTGACAAATATCGACACACATCAGCATTACCTTTCTCAGGCACATGTCAAAAGTACCATTGCTTTCATTATGGCAGACCTCTCACGATGAGAGAAGTATTAACAGAAACAAAATCCAGGAGTGGCTGGGAAGGTGCCTTCCAGAGTTGTGGGGGTTTGTTTTTAAATCTGCTCCAATCACATAATTAGCTGTGACCTTGAGATCAGAGGAATGACAACACGCCATGAGACTACCTTTCCAGACTCGTGGGCAGTTCAAAACTGTGTGTTGGACGATGCTTTCACCAAAACCACTCAGGAGCCAAAAATAGTCCAGCGATTTGCTTTTCCTCAACTCTGTTTTAGTTTCAAAAGGAAACCATTTAGATTCCATCAAGAGAAGGTTAAAAGGGATGATAGATTGCCACTGAAAATACTTAGTTTGCAAAGGGATCATTATTTACTTAGGGAAACTTAATAAAAAAAATCCTGTAGAATGTGTTGGCTTTACATACACACACAGAAGATACCCCAAGTTCGGTACAGACAGCTTTCTGAGAAACCACCACCTGAACCTCCCAAGGTCCGCATGACTTGCTCCTCCTCTCAGTCCAGGAGGCCGGCGGGAGGGCGACTTCCCTGCGCTGTTATAGCTCATCCTTCGCCTGGCGCAGAACAAAGTGGTGCAACGAGTCAAGGTCCCTGCCGCCGTTGTGCTCACTAACTCTCTTCCCCCCGCGGAAAAGCAGCAATGTGGGATAGCCTCGTACCTGTAACGAGAAAACGCAGTTTGAAAACTGGCCTGAATCATACACAGATTACTTAACTAAAGCCAGAAAAAAACACCTGTTGTGGCCGGGAAAGTCTATGGTTAAATTTCCATTTAAAAAGTACCAGCTAGTTCAGCAAGCAAAGCCACTGGACTATTTATTCAGTTTCTAACCCAAAATTACGTCCACGATTAGTGCCAAAGGGATGCCTCCCCCGGAGTGGAGTCCCCGAGTCCCTGCCGTGCACGCCCCCCGGGTCGGGTGGAGTCAGCGTGGGGCCTGAGGCTGCATTCATGACCAGCTTCCCGTGGTGCCCAGGCCGTACTGAGGAGCAGCGAGGCCCTCGAGGAGATATATTTTTCAGCTGCAACTCACATCTTTCCTCTTTTGAGAATTTTAAGGCACACATACACACACAAAAAATGCCTGGCATCTCCCAATGATAAGTAAAAAAAAAAAAAAAAAGTCATCTATTCTCAATCTGATGAGATGATAAATATGATAAATATCAGAAGCCTCAAAAGTCTTTTAGGAAAGCAAGCAAAAGAACAGTACAAATCACAAATCTTGTAGGCTATTAGATGGTGCTAATGGCTAGGAAGGAGGCAACAGCTGAAGGACAATCCAATGCAAGTCTGGCTGGTGGGGAGGCCCTCTCAGGAGGAAGTCTATGTTCTAATGTTGCCTTATTCAGCCATCGACTCCAGAACGCTGTCGTATGTAAAAAAATAAAAATAAGGCCACTTTGGTATCTCGGATGAAGGCTACGGGCCAGCCGACTGTCAGTGAGAATGTGCATTCGGAGGGGGCCTCGCTCCCCAGGGTGGATCTCAGATACTGGCCAGCAGCCTCTGCCCAGAAGCAAGACCGAGACCCCTCTGAACATGTGTGTGGCAGAGGGAGAGAGCCTTTCTTTCAGAGCATCTCTTCCTTTTCAAAGTGAAAAAACAAAACACCTCCAAAGGACACAAACAGCGCTTTGTTGAGGGAGGAGGGCAGCGAGTTATCTTGGTTGAGACAACGATACCACATTCCAGCTCCACCTGGATCAGCTCTGATACTCGGCATTCCCAGAAGTGTCTCCATCCACGGTACCCACCGAGTACTTGCTGCAGATGTTGCGCTCAGCAGTACAGTCCACTTCGGCGACCTTGACCTCTGCCAAGCCAGGGAATTCCTTTTTAGAGAGTTCTTCCCAGGTAGGAGCCAGGTTCTTACAGTGGCCACACCTAGAAATGGAAGAATGACCGCTTTGTTCAAGTCCCAGGTCGAGGTCACTCGCCTACATTCCGCTGCCAAGCCTTGTGTTTCTATGAGGCTGGCAACAATTGCCTAGAAGTTTAGAAAACACCAAATTCTCCCATTGTCTTCCTCCTCCTCCAAAACAAAGACGGCAAAGTCTACCTGAAGCAGACTTCTGGGTAACCTGATGGAAACAAGCTGGTCTGAAAACAAGTCTGGGTTTTGAAACCATCTCAGTGACCCGTAAATTCGGCTAACTGGTTTATGAATGCATCACGAACAGGAGGAAACAAACAGGAAACAAAATGGACTCCAAACGTTGTTGTTGTTTCTAATCACTTGAAGGCTAAAAACATTTTAGCTTTGACTGCTTATGGTCTCAACATTTCAAAACAACCTCACAGCTCCCCTCAAGCTTTGGTGATGTGGTGTGAGCACCAAATCATTCAAAACTCTGTGTCCCTTTTCTGACTCCAAGAACTGCTCCCCTGCAATAAAAGGGGATCTGCTGTCTTCAAACTTGATCTATATAGCTTTTTTGTTGTTTTTTAAAGGCATTATTTACTAGTGTTTCTTTTTTTTTTTATTTTCTTGATTTTTACCAGAGAGGAAGAGAGGGATAGAGAGTTAGAAACATTGATGAGAGAGAAACATCAGATCAGCTGCCTCGTGCACACCCCCTACTGGGGATGTGCCCGCAACCAAGGTACATGCCCTTAACCAGAATCGAACCCGGGACCCTTTAGTCCGCAGGCCGACACTCTATCCACTGAGCCAAACCAGTTTCGGCTACTAGTATTTCTTTATATATATAACGTATTTTTATTTATTTCAGAGATGAAAGGAGAGGGAGAGAAACATAGAAACATCAATGAGAGAGAATCATTGATCGGCTGCCTTCTGCGTGCCCCCGACAGGGGATCGAGCCCACAATCTGGGCATGTGCTCCTGACCGGAATGAGCCGGGGACCCTTCAGTCCAAAAGCTGATTCTCTATCCACTGAGACGAACTGGCTTGGGCCAGTGTTTCTATTTTTAAAAAATTAAAACAGCACAACTCATACAAGTCATGTGCTCAAATCTTTTTTTAATCCTCATTTGAGGATATATATCTTTGGAAGGCAGCTATGCTCACCACTATACCACCAACGCTGCGGCAGAGGATATATATCTTTTTACTGATTTTAGAGAGAAAAAGAGAGGGGGGGGGAGAGAGAGAGAGAGAGAGGGAGAGAGAGAGAGAGAGAGAAACATGGATGTCAGAGAGAAACATTAATCTGTTGTCTCCCATATCTACCCAACTGGGAATCGAACCCTCAACCTAATTATGTGAACTTGAGACCCTTCAGTTCCTGTACGATACTTCAACCACCGGAGCAAACCAGCCAGGACTCATTAACTTTTATCTCTGCTATGATGGTTTTTCATGAATATCTGAAATGGTATTTTGCTCTATAAAGAGCAAAAATGGCATGTGGTGACCTTACCTGTCCACTTTTAAATACGGAACTGACTCTCCCAGCACCCTGCGTTCCCAAATGCAGTGTTTCATTTGTGCAGACATCCTTCAGTTTTACTGCTAAGTTTCAGGGAATTAAAGGCCACCCAGAGTCACAGCAGTTCGGGGAAGTTCTGGACCTCTCGTCTCCCCACCACGCAGATGCCTTGGTCCCAACCCCGTGCAAACGCTCCCTGAGCGCCGTGTGGCAGGAATGGCTCTGACTGACTTCAGCTGCTGGGTTTCTCCATGATCTCCATAGGAGAGGACTGGTATCCATGCACATGAGCATGAATGACCAATGGACACCAACTATCGGGAGTGGGGGCGGGGAAAGGTCAATGGGGGGAGGAGGGGAGGAGACATATGTAAAACTTTGAACAACAAAGAATTTAAAATGAATGAATGAATGAATGAATAAATAAATACATAGACTATGGAGCAGAAGTGCATCAAGCTGTTCATGGGTTATATAACCAAAACAAGCTATCTATTTGGCGAAGCGCACAGATACCATAACGTAAGTCCTGTACAACCACCAGAGTTCTCCGCCATTATTATGTTTTCTGCAAAGCAGACCGAACTATAAAATATACTAACCTAATTTTCCATACATGTTTATGAATACCTCCCACCTGGAACACACCTGAACACAGGAGCATAAAGATCACTTTCCTTATTTCCTACGACAGAGCCCCAGGATGGGCCTGGAGGGTGGGCTGAGGAGCTGGAAAATGCAAAGGGACGGAAGTGCATGAGGAAATGTGGTTTCTAATGAGGGAGCCACTTACCATGGAGCGTAAAACTTGATGAAGGTGATTCCTTCTGCTACGGTGTCATCGAAGTTGTTTTCTGTGAGTGCCAGCACAGTGCCCTTCAGGGGAGGGAAAGCCACAGTGAAACACATCACTCACAGCACACGGGATAATGCTTTGGGATTGCAGGAAGACAAAGCAATGATTCTGAATGCTGCTATGCGTAGTCCACGGTCACACAAAACTGCCTACACGACTTGCATTTCACCAACGGCACACAAGGGCAGAGCAGTGGCCTCTGAAGGGCAGAGGGACAACACGGGTCCCGGGGGCCCTGCTTCGGGGAGGTGGCAGGACAGTGCAGCGCTCCTCGCACAGCCCCGCCCTCCCCGCCCGCCTCTGCTCCTGCCCCAGCCCCAGCCCAGGGCGGGGGAGGGACAGCTGCTGCCCCCGGGGCTGGGAGTGTGGACCAGTTAGCTCTAGGCGGACAGGGCCTGAATCAGACCTCCCTGCCTCGGAGTCTCCCACGCTGACCAGAGCACAGACACCCCCTTCCCGGGCCTCCTGAGGTCTGTACCCGTGGCCCCTCTTGCTGACTCAACGCTCTCTATCACAGGGATGCACACACGTGACTTTCTCTGTCATAGAGGGACCTTACAAAAAGTTACAAAAGCACAGGCAATGATGTGTTTTTCATGTGACAGGCTTCTTTCCATTTTTAAATTCGAAGTAAATGTAAAAGCGGCTCCTCTGAGCTCTGGCTGCCTGGTGTCGTCCGCTCCAAAGTGACTCTACCGTGACAGCTCTTTAGAGGACCGCGTCTCGTGTTTCTCCAAAAATACATCTGCGATTCTCTCAGGAGAGCAAGAACATGGGTGATCTATCACGTGGCTAAAGGTACCAGGGCTGCGCCGCCCGAGTCCCGCATCAAGCGAGTCTGTCGGTGGTGGGAGGCGCTGTGGAGCACTGCCATCTCTCTGTCCCGAAACAGGACGCCACACTCCCCGAGAGGCCCGCTTCACGGGAAACTTCATTACAAACAGAAGCCGCTCTGTGTTTGATGAAAACATCCATAGCATGTAATTATACTCCATTTGGGATGACCTTTCTAACCACCATGACACACACACTCCTCTAACGTATGTGGTCATAACGACGACAAAATCATGTGTTTACTTCTTAAACCAAAACTTCAACTTTTAACTCACGCCCAACCTGCAAGAGTCCAACAAGGGATGGGCTGTGGGGACGAAGAGGCCCTGCTCCCCAGCCCTGAGAGGATGGTTGGGGTTTCCACTGGTTTTTCCAATTTCATCCAGCTGGGGCCCAAGGACAGATGCTCCAGCGCGCCGGGACCTCTGCTGTGAATGCTGAGGGCGGTCGGGCACACCTGGCTCGCTGCCCCCTCCCCGGAATCGCGGGCACTCCGCCCTTTCCCTTGCCCCAGCGTCCCAGGTAAGTCCTGGCATGCTATGAAGTACAGTCGTGTGAACTGAAGGAGCAACATTAAGTGTTCTGCTTCGGAAATATGTTGACAGACAGGCCTTAAGGCTCTTAGCTAGGAAATCCAAGCATTGTTTTCCTGAAAAAACATTATTTTGAGGTCCCCTTAAATCTCATTCTAACCCATGAATGCAGCAATAGCTTCTACCTAAAGCTCCATATACACGTAGCGTAGACAGCCTGCTTTAGCTGCAGGCTGATACACTGTACACAGTTATCACCTCACGGCCTTGAAAATCAACACCTTGAAAACTGATGGCATCTCCATCCTCCCCTCCCCCACAAAGCCCCTTGCGTGTGCTCGGTGCCCTCCTCCACCAGCTACCTGGCAGCAGCACAGACCCCACCGCCCTAACTGCTCAGAACTGGAGTCCTTGTGCTGGCGGCACTCCTGCCCTCCATTCCACTCTCGGCCTCAGTTTGGGGTCTCCTCATCTTTTATGACCTAATACACCAGTTTTCCATCTCCTTCATACACGCTGTTGCCAGTCATCTTTCTAAAACTCAAGCCTTCCATTGGATCCCTATTAATAAAGCTCAAAATCCTTGGCTGGCCAGCAAAGTCCTCTGCAACCCAGCTCTCCCCATCCCCTCTTTCCCTCTGCATCCTGCCCCTGCATCCTGTCCCCCTCTTCACCCCGCCCTCCAGCTGAAGCAGGCCCTGCCCCGTGTCAGTGCTGCTGCTCACACTCCTCCTCCACTAGGCATGCCTTCCCCCGCCTCTCCAGCAAACACCCTTCACCTGCCACCTCTCCAGGGACATGTCTGCCTTTCGGCTCCTTCTCTCACACAGTGACCGGCCAGCCTGCACACACTGAGCCCTGCAACACCAGCATGCATGTGCTCTCACGCAGCCCCCAGTAGACCCAGGGCCGGCATAGGCAGCAGCATGGTCTGTGTTTGCCTCCTGGTGGCCCAGGACAGTGCCTGAAACCTAACAAGGGCTTGATAATCACAGAACAAATGCTAGAGTTAAATTCAAGCTCACTGAGAATGAAGATGCCCTCAGTGAGTCAGAGACTGCCTAAGGTAGGGGTGTCGAACTCAATCAGAGAAGGGGCCAAAATCTAAAATCCAGCCTAAACCGCGGGCCAAATGGTTTACTGAACAGTCATAAACTGTCATTGTGATGGAAACGCAGCGGAGTGCAGTGATGACAGCGCGGTGCGGGCCACATTGCAAGGCCTGGCGGGACGGATTTGGCCCGCGGGCCTTGTGTTTGACACATGTGGCCTAAGGAAATTAAATGTCCTCCAGCCCCCTGCCTTCAATCCCAGCACACAGCTCTCCCGCTCCCCAGCGTTCCCAGTCTTTATAAGCCACAGGCTATGGTGAAGTGCCTGCAGCCCGTGGTGGAAATGAACAGACAGTGGGCGTGCGAGGCAGCAGACAAGCTTTCAGAGCGAATACCCTCGGGTACAGTGGTAACTGAATCGAGGGGAGGAAGTTCCCAGAGACCTCAGCTCCATCTCAGGATTTCCCTCACACCCATGTTGCTGTTTGCCCCTTACAAACACAGTCAAAGAAAATGTTCCGTGTTGAAAAGTCAGCTGTAACCAACCACCTGAATGGCTCAGTACTGTCCTCCAATGTCCCGTGTCCCCAGCGCCAGAGGAGAAAGCCCTCTGCGGGCGGTGCTGGGCGGGCACCCACCTTGTCGGCCTCGGGCTCTGCAGCACCCACCGGGGCCTCCGTGGGTGGGGTGGTCTCTGGGGCGCCGCGGTCTGCACCCTGCAGCTGCTGTTCCACATACTCTCTCAGCGAGTCCAGGTCCCGCTTTCCCTTGTACTGGTCCACCTGTCCAGGGAAGGGCCACACGGAAACACGGCCGAGTTAGTACACCCAAGTGCCCGAACCACTCGAACCTCCTGCCACCGCTCGCCCGCCTGAACCCGGCCGGCAGACGCCTTCCCCTGGCTGTGTGAGCTGTGCGGTGCCCGCGGGCCCGGATCTAACTGGGAGAGCACGGATTATACTGGGAGGGGTTGGCTCCGGGGAGAGCTTTACGGCCCTTTCCTCTGCAGAGCTACGGAGCACAGCCCGGCAGCCCCGCAGGCACTCCGAGCGGCTGCCCATCAGCAGGAGCGGGAACGGGAACATTACCAGAGGCCGCGTGAACCCTGCTCAGAGGTCACAGCCAGAGCTCGGTTACCCAGAACCGTAACGAAAGGCTTCAAAATAGTATAACAACCGGCAGTGCTTCTCCACTACCCAAATCTCATCCGTTAAGAAAAAGGCATTTTTGTTCCATTACACGTATCCTTTAAACTGGTGCCCAAACCGTCCATTCTGGGAATTTGCGCGCCTGTTAGGCACCCGACAGCCCAGCCCACCGTGGCTAAGACCCGAAGACGCACCTTTTTGCCGTCCCGGAACCAGAGGAGCGTGGGATAGCCTCGGACCTGGTTGCCGGAGCACAGCGCGTGGTGCTGCGTGCAGTCCACCTGCAAGGCAAGACCGCCGTCCAGTCAGCACCTGGGAGCCCGCCTGGCAAGAAGGACGGTGGCACCGGGGAGTTTCTTTACAAAGAAAACTTCTAACCCTGACCTGCAGCGCCTGGGCCAGCAGGCTGTGGTGTCTGCGACCTTCCCTGCAGACGCGGCCCAAAGCCGCCCGAGCCCAGGGAGCAGGAGACGGGAGACGATCACTTTGGAGGCGTGAGTGACGTTGCTCACTGAAAGTGGCACTTTCAGAAAGCCATGCCTGGAGCAGGCTAATCAGCCGAGAGGGGCAGCCTGGCCTGACCCCGCGGAGGGGCAGGCCTGGTGTCGGTGACGGACACCCACCAGTCACAACACCAGCCAGCTCCTATATTCATCCTCACTTCAAACTTACGGAGTTTTAAAATTAAGAAGGAACAGGCAGTCAATTGCAAACAGAAATCCTTGGTATATGATAAAGATGAAACTGAAAAGATGTCCAATTAAGTTTAGACTATGTCCCTAATTCTACAAACTCAATTTACCAACCATCACAGCTCTTCAGATTTTTTATTTCATTTAAATGTTCATGTCAAAACCGTTTGGCTCAGTGGATAGAGCGTCGGTCTGCAGACTGAAAGGTCCCAGGTTCGATTCCGGTCAAGGACATGTAACTTGGTTGCGGGCACATCCCCAGTGGGAGGTGTGCAGGAGGCAGCTGACCGATGTTTCTCTCTCATCAATGTCTCTAACTCTCTATCCCTCTGCCTTCCTCTCTGTAAGAAATCAGTAAAATATATTTTAATAAATAAATAAATAAATAAATAAATGTTCATAAGATTCTCCTTTTCAACATTTTCATGAAACATTTTATCCTAAGTCACTTCTTTCATTTCTACTGGCATTAAAACCAGCTTGTGGGTCCAAGCTGCTCTTCGCTGTGTCAAGAAAGGCAGCTGGAAGTGCTACGTTAACAGAGAACGGAAATCAGAGAGCAGTTACAAGTGCTGGACGCCGCAGACTGAAATCGGGTGGGTGCATGCGCTGAGCCCAGTCTCACCCAGGCACACGTACGTCCAGGGATGAAGGACTACAGCACAGTCACTTAAACTGTGTCTGGACTAGTAGCATAAACTGAAAACAAAATAATCTCTCATCAAAGTCCAAAAGACAAAGTCAGGAGACAAGGCGCAGGAAGACAGCGGACAAGAAGACTGCTTTACAGTGACTTCCATTAAATGTTCAATAAATATAAAATTTCAATCACATCCATATATGCGAGGACATGGTATTAAAAGTGTTGCGGGCAACACTGAAAAACCCATTGAACTAACAGCAACTACCACAATTTACTAGCCACTGCTCCGTGCCAAGCACCGTGCCAAGCTCTTCGCTTCCATCCTCAGGACTATCGGTTAGACCTCATCTCAGTTTCACCGAGAGGAAGGGCGAGGTGTCAGGTTGCCCCGGCTGGCCAGCCAGGTCTGTCTGACATCCAAATTTACGCTTTTGACATCTCCCCATGTCGAGCAGACTATCTTATTAACTATAGTTCCTGGACACAGCGTTACTTCTGTACACAGACTGGCCCCTCGCGATGTAGACAATGAGATTGTTATTAGCAGAAACCCAGGCAGGGATGGTCTGCTGGGTGCCAGAGGACCGATAAGATTAAAAGTGCTTGATGGCGCAGAAGTGGCTAATATTTCGAGAAAATCCAGTTACACAGAAGTTGTCAGACACCACTGCTGGCTTCTCTGCGTAAAGTGGGAAAAGCTGGAAAGAGTTCAGGCAGCAGAGCAGCTGGGCCCCGCGGGGGCTCCCTGGGTGCCTGTGCGAGCTCAGAGGGTCCTTCAGGAAAGAGCTCTTGGGTGAGATCAAACGTGGACGACGTCCAGGGAACATTCTCGGAGGCGCTGCCCCTATCTGTGCAGAAAGGGCTCGGGGGCTGCCAATTCTGAATTGGCCATCGCTTCAAAATACACAAAGGAGCCAAAGCCGTAATTTATCTCTGGGCTGTGGAAAAGCCAGCACACTCGACACCAGGCTGCCATCTGTGAAGGTGAAATGAATTATCAAGTGGCACACCGAATGGAAATAATAAATCAAGTCTGCGGCTCCACACACAGAGTGAATAATGGGCTCCTCTGCTAATTAATCCAGCCGAAGCCGTCTCTTTCCAGCGTAATAAGGGCTGCGCTTACCTTGCCAATCTTGACAGCTTCGGAATGTTCGAGGCCCAGGGCCAGCTGCTCCCAGGTCGGGGCCAGCGCTTTGCAGTGACCGCACCACGGAGCAAAGAACTTGATGAAGTGGTCGCCTTCCGTGGAGCCGGGGCAGAGAGAGAGAGGGAGTGAGATTAAATGACACCTAGCCAGCGATGGAGCGGAAGCCTCTCATCTTTGTCCTCTTGCCTAGCTCAGTCCAGGATGAACCGTTTAACTTGTAAAAAGTGACTCTCCATCCAAAATGTCTCTACCCACGAGTTCATAACGCTCTCAAAGCAAAACCTGATCTGTCATGTTTGGAAGACAATAGGGAACCAACTTATTATTTGAAAAACTGGAAATAAAGGGGAAAGAATCAGGATTTACCCTATTGTGCATAACCAACTGATAAGCCAGGCAAGTTTCTCTTGATAAAAAAAGTAAAGGCTAGCCCTAGCCAGTTGCTCAGTGGTTAGAGCATCGGCCCTCAGGCGGAGGGTCTCAGGTTCGATTCCAGCAAGGGCATGTACCTCGGTTGCAAGCTCAATCCCAGGCCCTAGTTGGGATGTATATGGGAGACAAGCAATTGATGTGTCTCTCTCACATCAATGTTTCTTTATATATATTTCTCCCCCTCCCTTCCACTCTTTCTAAAATAAATAAATAAATAAATAAATAAACAAACAAACAATCAATGGAAAAACATCCTCCAGTGAGGATTAACAACAAAGTGGAGACAGGATTCTTGAATTAGAGCAGCAGCATTTGCTATCCAGAATAAATGAGCATCTCTAGGCAGTGACTGTTAGGCTGCTGGAATCACAGAGACTCAGCAGCTATGAAGTCTTGTCCAACCACCCAAGAACATCAAACAGGAACTGCTAATGCCTCCTGATCCCAGCAGCAGTTCACAGGGAACAGAGAGATCAGGGGCTTAATGTGTCAGTCAGAGGGCTGTAACTGGGATGGGGACAGCGAGGCTTATCTTGAACTGAACAATGGTTGCAGGGTGACCATTTTATAACAATTCACTAAGCCTTACGTTTGTTTCCTGTATCTGTGTTTTATTTCACAATAAAGTAGGTTTAAAAAAAATGAATATTACTCTCCTGACTGGAAGAAAAAAACAGATCCTCAAACATCATTATTTAGACAGGGAAGATTTTTTTCTAGGCTGTTCTACCTTGACCATCCTGGGGCCTAAAGAGGTCAGGCTGAGATCAAACTGAAATCAGGCTGCGGCCAGAGAGAAAAGGAGCCAATGAATGCTAAACTGTGGCCTGGCCTCATCACTATGGCAATGATGTGTTTGAAGGAAATGGTGAAAAACTGGCCTCAATAGATTAGCAAATGAGCTTCCAGACTGACCCATCTCTCCAGACAGCTTTGGTGATAACACTGTGTGGTGAGGGGGAGAGGACGTCCAGGGACCCATCGGAGTGTCCCTGGGAAGGTGCAAGGCCGGAGGCTGGAGATCCTCAGGCCAGCAGCACAGGCGGCATTCCCAAAGGCCGCCTTCAGCGCCGGAATCAGAGGGAGGCACCAGGGTGGCTGCGGGGAAGGGTCTCCCACAAGGTGACTTGGGAAGCACATCCTGCAGGGAGCCCAAGCTGGTCTCAGGTTAAAGGGAACCCCCTGCAGGGAAACCCCTCGAAGCTGCACTGTCAGAAGGCTGGCACAAACAGCCACCTCCAAGGAAAGGGGCACAACTGAAGGCACCAGTTACTTCTGACCGTCAGTGGGTTGGGGGGAACTTATTTAGCACTGATTCGGAGGCTGACTCCCCGCAGCATGAGGTCACAAGGCCAGATGCGATTTTAAGCCCCTGTCACAACATTTCCAACCCAGGCTTAGGGGAGGATTTCTCTCCGTGGCAGCATTTGAGAATGGAGTGGGCCAGTCATTCACTGCTGAGCTAGCTCTTCCGAAATGTGTGAAGAAAGGAGGACTTATATTATTAACATCAGAAACTGTACACAGACCATTTCCATATTTAGGAGACCACTTTCAAAAACAAGATATGTCTAAGAAAAGATTTTAAGTGTGAAGAACTCTGATTCACATGTTATAATAGTTCCACTAAATAAACTAAATTCTAGTTTAAACAGATAAGAAAAAGTTGTGTTTTTTTAAAAAAACAACTGATTTTAGAAAGGGAGAGAGAAACACCAAAGTGAGAGAGATACATCGATCAGTTGCCTTCTGTACACACTCCAATTGGGGATCGAACCCACAACGTAGGTATGCGCCCTGACCAGGGATCGAACCCAACCTTCCAGTTCAGGGGCGATGCTCCAACTAAGTGAGCCACCTCGTCAGGGCAGATAAGAGAAAGTTTTATTTCTGGCTCAGGTCAATAATATATGATTAACGTGAATATAAACACACCTTCTTGTCCAAGGATGCACTGTCCAGCTAGTGTAGGAACTGTCACTCAGTCTGTGCACTCCAAATTCCCTCACCTAAGGCTTTTAGCTTAGCATTAAAACTCTGGTTTACGAACAGAGACCAAAGGAGGAATTTCCCAGGGGAAGAGCATTAAACAATGATGTTACTGGTCCCTGGAGAGAGAAATCCTTTCTGAGCCCTGTGTACACCATAGGTGTCTATAGACACAAGCGGCACACTTTCCCCACACGCCATGCACACCTACAGCCGCAAACCTCGCATATCAACTCTGGTCGCCCAATTTTAAAATCAGACTTATGAGTGACATCTCTGGGTTTGTAAAGAAAATTATGGTAACTTAAATTCATAACTATTCCAGCGCACACGGAAGAAATGGGGATGGCTTCCGTTTTGGACGCGTGGCAGTTCACTGGTTAGTGTCCCAGATGCTGCTTCCTATGAGGCCTCCGGTGGCAAGGACAAGAGAGGTGTGCCTCCCACCGTGAACGCCCACCACGCGATCCGCCCGCCATACCTTGTGCGACGTGCTGCTCAAAGTTGTTTGCAGAGAGCTCATACAGTCCCTGCTTGAGCTCAGGGGCCCTGGGAGGTTCTGGTTCTGGCTCCGGTGTCTAATAGGAAGAAACAAAGATATAATCACTGAGTTGTCTGTGAAGACTTCGTGCGAGCCATTGAGGAGGTGACTTGTGTGTCTAGAGTAGGGGTGTCAAACTCAATCAGAGAAGGGGCCAAAATCTAAAATCCAGCCTAAATCGCGGGCCGAATGGTTTACTGAACAGTCATAAACTGTCATTGTGATGGAAACGCAGCGGAGTGCAGTGATGACAGCGCGGTGCGGGCCACATTGCAAGGCCTGGCGGGACGGATTTGGCCCGCGGGCCTTGTGTTTGACACATGTGGTCTAGAGCGTGCTGCAGGTCTCCCTCCTCACCTGGCCACCCTAAGCCTGTATGGGGTGCTGCTGTGTGGAGGGAGGCCAGCGCAGGACTCGACTGTCAGATCTTCTGTCAGAAGCCCCTCGGGAAGCAGGTGACAGCCAAACCCACTCCAACCTGTCCTTTGCTTTCCCAAACTCAAGCAAACAGAGCAGACAGCCTGAAGGACTCTGCTCTGTTCTTTGAAATGGGATGTAAGATTTCACACAGAATACAAAAGACATTTCTGACTGGCTGATCTGAAGGAAAGGGTAACTACAGGCACAAAGAGAACAAAATGGACAAAACTGAGAATGAAAAACCACGAGGAAAGAATGGACACTGATTCGCACAAACAGTAAAAAAATAATAAAAACAACAAGAACTGGGAAGAAGATAAAACTCTGAAGGACTCGTAAAAGAGAAAAGTAGATGATGAGAAGGTAAATTGAGATGAATCAAAGCAACAAAGAGAAAACCACAGGGCAAACATAAGCTGTACTTTTAACTCACATGACTAAGTTTGGGACAGAAACACAACAACGATACAATAAATGGCTTCCCCTCCCCCCTTTTAAAGTAAACTTACGTATTGGGGTGACATTGATCATACAAATTTCAGGCATGGGTTTCTATCTGTGTACTGCATGTATGCCTACCACCCAAAGTCAAACCTTCTCCCATCAAGAAGTAAGTTTCTAAGAAAGATGTGCCTGCCCTGGCTGGTAGCTCAGTTGGTTAGAGCAGTAGTCGGCAAACCGAGGCTCACAAGCCACATGTGGCTCTTTGGCCCCTTGGGCCTGGGCGAGTCTATTTTGAAGAAGTGGAGTTAGAAGAAGTTTAAGTGTGAAAAATTTGGCTCTAAAAAGAAATTTCAATCATTGTACTGTTGATATTTGGCTCTGTTGACGAATGAGTTTGCCGACCACTGGGTTAGAGCATAGTCCTGATATGCCAAGTTAGGGGGTTCAATCCCTGGTCAGGGCACATACAAGAATCAATCAATGAATACATAAAGTGGAACAACAAATGGATGTTTCTCTCCCTCTAAAATCAATCAATGACATTTAAAAAAAAAAAAAAGACACTTCTGCCAGTACCTGAGCAGACACAAAGGTGTACAGCTATGCATTTACTCTAGTACTTACTACACAATTTTAAATTTGTCCATTTTTGAGGCCAGTATAGCTGCAATGAAGAAAAGATCACTGAAATACCATTTTGCTGCAGACATCGGGGCACTACTCAATTGTTATTGTATATAGCAGTTCATATTTCTATTAAAAAGAATACCCAAGTTAAGTCACTGAAAGCTTTAAAGGTGCTGACAGCTCAAAGATGTCCGGAGCTGTAATCATAAACCTCATGACGTTTTCCTTTCTGCTGCTGGTTTGTCAAAACTTCCAAGTGCTAAGTACCCGCACAGAGGAGCCCACGAGAACGACGGCCCACTGAACAGTCAGTGAGTCCAACAGGAAAAACGAAACACTCCGTATGCTGCTATACAATGTTCAAAGGGCTGCCAGTATCAGAATGCTATTGATGGCGCTAGAGGACACCACCCTTTCCTGCGCTGGGGCAGTCCCAGCCCAGTCCTCCTACAGAAGAACCCCACAGTAGGTCACAGGTTCTTTTTTAAAATTTTTATTTTAGTCTTTATTTTATTGTTTAAAGTACCGTGTTTCCCCGAAAATAAGACTTCCTCCGAAAATAAGACCTAGCGCATGGAAAGATAAGACATCCCCTGAAAATAAGACGTAGCGCAACTTTGGGAGAAAAAATTAATGTAAGACACTGTCTTATTTTCGGGGAAACAGGGTGTTACAGATAGTAAAGTATATGTCTCCATTTTCTCCTATTCACCTCTCCCTAGCCTCCCCGACCCCCCAGCACATGCCCTCACCCTCCTAGTGTCTGTGTCCATTCATTATGCTTATATGGACGCATACAAATCATTTGGTTGATCTCTTACCTAACCCCAACCCTCCCATGCCTTCCTATTGAAGTGTGACAGTCTGTTCGATGCTTCTTTGTCTCTGTATCTATTTTTGTTCATCAGTTTATGATGTTCATTATATTCCACAAATGAGTGAGATCAAGTGATGTTTATCTTTCTCTGACTGGCTTATTTAGCTTAGCATAATGCTCTCCTGTTCCTTCCATGCTGTTTAAAATGGTAAGAATTCCTTCTTTTTTACAGCAGCATAGTATTCCATTGCATAGATGTACCACAATATTCTAATCCAGCAGTTACCAACCAGTGGTCTGAGGACCACTGGTGGTCCTTGAGGTCCAAAAAGTTGGCATCTGCTATTCTAATCCATTCATCTGCTGATGGGCACTTTGGCTGTTTCCAAATCTTAGCTATGGTGAATTGTGCTGCTATGAACATAGAAGTGCAAATATCCTTTCTGACTGGTGTTTCTGATTTCTTGGGATATATTCCTAGAAATGAGATTACTGGGTCAAATGAAAATTCCATTTTTAATATTTTGAGGAAACTCCATACTGTTCTCCACAGTGGCTGCACCAGTCTGTATTCCCACCAGCAGTGAACGAGGGTTCTTTTCTCTGCATCCTTGCCAGCACTGGTTATTTGTTGATTTGTTGATGATAGCCATTCTGACAGGTGTGAGGTGGTACCTCGTTGTTGTTTTGATTTGTAGCTTTTGGATGATTAGTGACTTAAAGCATGTTTTCATGTCTCTTGACCTTCTGTATGTCCTCTTTCGAAGTGTCTATTTAGGTCCTTTGCCCATTATTAGACTGGATTGTTTATCTTTCTTTTGTTAAGTTGTATGAGTTCCCTATAGATTAAACCCTTATCGGATATAACATTGGCAAATATGTTCTCCCTGGGCTTTCTTAATTGTTTTGTTGATGGTTTCTTTTGCTAATCAGAATATTTTTATTTTTATGTAATCTCATTTGTTTATTTTCTCCTTAGTTTCCATTGCCCTAGGAACTGTATTAATAAAAATATTGCTACAACATATGTCTGCTATTTTGCTGCCTATGGATTCTTCTAAGATTTTTATAGTTTCTCATCTTACGTTTAAGTCCTTTATCTATTTTGAGTTTATTTTTGTGTTTGGTGTAAGTTGGTCATCTAGTTTCATTTTTTTGCATGGATCTGTCCAATTTTCCCAGCACCATTTATTAAAGACTGTCTTCACTCCGTTGTATGCTCTTGCCTTCTTTGTCAAATATTGAGCATAGTGGCTTGGGTCAATTTCTGGGTTCTCTGTTCTTCTCCATTGGTCTATAGGTCTATTCTTGTGCCAGTACCAGGCAGTTTTGAGAACAGTGGCATTATAGTATAGCTTAATATCTGGTATTGTGACTCCTCCAACATTGTTCCTCTTTCTCAAGATTTCTGCAGTTTTTCAGGTTTTTTTTTTTTTTTTATTATTCCAGATGAACTTTTGGAGTTTGTTCTAAGTCTTTGAAATACGCTGTTGGTATTTTAATGGGGATTGCATTGAATATATAGATTGCTTTGGGTAGTATGGACATTTTAATGATGTTGATTCTACCAATCCATGAACATGATATATTTTCCATTTGTTTATGTCTTCCGCTATCACTTTTTTCAGTGTCCTGTAATTTTCTGAGTACAGATTCTTTACCTCCTTGGTTAAATTTATTCTTAGGTATCTTAATTTTGTTGTTGTTGTTGTTGTTGCAGTTGTAAATAGGATTTTTTTTTTTTTAATTATTCTTTCTGTGAGTTCATTATTGGTATATAAAAAGGCCATTGATTTCTGGGTGTTAAATTGGCCATTGATTTCTGGGTGTTAATTTTGTATACTGCTACATTGCCAAATTCATTTATTATGTCTAATAGTTTTTTTGATGGAGTTTTTGGAGTTTTCTATGTATAGTATCGTGTCATCTATGAATAAAGACAGTTTTACTACTTCTTTTCCAATTTGAATGCCTTTTATTTCTTCTTCTTGTCTGATTGCTATGGCTAGTACTTCTAGTACTATGTCAAACAGGAGTGGTCATTGTGAGCATCCTTGTCTTGTTCCTGTTCTTATGGGAAATGGGTTAAGTTTTTGCCCTTTGAGTATGGTGTTGGCTGTAGGTTTGTCATATATTGCTTTTGTTATGTTGAGGTATGATCCCTCTACTCCCAATTTGCTGTGAGTTTTTAATCTGGAAAGGGTATTGGATTTTGTCAAATTCATTTTCTGCATCAATTGATATGATTATGTGATTTCTGTCTTTGAATTTGTTTATGTGATGTATCACGTTCATTGATTGGGGATATTGTACCAGCCTAGCATCCCTGGAAATCCCACTTAGTCATGGTCTATGAGATTTCTAATGTAATGCTGGATCTGATTTGCTAGAATTTTGTTAAGGATTTTAGCATTTTGTTCATCAGGGATATTGGCCAAACTGGTTTCGGCAAGAGCCAAGTTTTAAAAAATATATATTTTATTGATTTTTTACAGAGAGAAAGAGAGAGGGATAGAGAGTTAGAAACATCAATGAGAGAGAATCATTGATCAGCTGCCTCTTGCACACCCCCTACTGTGGATGTGCCCACAACCAAGGTGCCCTTGACCAGAATCGAACCTGGGACCTTTCAGTCCACAGGCCGACGCTCTATCCACTGAGCCAAACTGGTTTTGGTGAGAGCCAAATTTTTAAAACTTAAACTTCTTCTAACATCACTTCTTCAAAAT